GGTGGTGGTGAGACCTGGGACATTGCCAGGGAATTTCAGCAGCTCTGTATCCCAAAAACTCTAAATCCTTTCACTTTTGTGCCCAATGTGAAAAATTTATTATTTTTTGACACCAGAACTCCATTGATTGAGAAATTGCAGTATGGATCTGCGTGTTGTACCACAGAAGCTTCTGGCAAATCAGCAATTCAATTCTCTAATTTTTCTTTTGTTTTCAGACTGAATGCATAACCTATAGTCTATTTGTGTAGGGTGAAAGCCTCAATGCCATTCACGTTTTGGATGGAATATGGAAAAAACCCTGTTTGTTTGTTTGTTGTTTTCTTTTTGCTGTCTGTGTCACCCAAAGTCTGGTAGATCACAAACTTAATAATGGCATGCAATGCCAAGCTGCGGTTTCTAAAGCGAGCAAAATCCTCTCTTGTCATAAAAGAGGTATAGACTCCAGAGAGAGAGAGATATCGTATTACCCCGGTACAAATCATTAGTAAGACCTCATCTGGAATATGCAGTTCAGTTTTGGGCACCAATTCACAATAAGAACATTGGGGAACTGGAGAAAGTACAGAGAAGGGCAAATAAACTGATAGGAGGCATGGAGGAGATCAGCTATGAGGAAAGATTAGAGGAACTGAATTTATTCTCTCTTGAGAAGAGGAGATTAAGGGGGGATATGATCAACATGTATAAATACATCAGTGGTTCATATAGTGAACTCGGTGTAGAGCTATTCACCCTGAGGTCATCACAGAGGACAAGGGGGCACTCTTTACGTCTGGAGGAAAAGAAATTTAATCTCCAAACACGGAAAGGTGTCTTCACAGTGAGAGCTGTGAAAATGTGGAATAGACTGCCCTCAAGTTGGTTCTGGCCAGTTCAGTGGATTGCTTTAAAAAAGGCCTGGATTGTTTCTCAGATACACAGAATATAACTGGATACTAACATTTATAGGTAAAGTTGATCCAGGGAATATCCGATTGCCTCGGGGGATCAGGAAGGAATTTGTTCCCCTGCAGGAGTAAATTAGGTCATGCTTTGCTGTGTGTGATGTTTTTTTTTATTTTGCCTTCCTCTGGATCAACAGTGCATTAACATTAACCCATTAGCATTAGACTTTTTTTTTTTTTTTTAGCCAGACTAACTATGTAATGTCTTCAATCATCCCAGTGGGAAATAGGTTTCTGATGGAGGTCAGTTGTTGCAGTCCCCTACAATACTTGAGAAATAGAGCAAGAAATACCCGTAAATAAACTTGCGCTCCTCCTTATTCCATATCTCGGCTTTCCTTGTCTTACCTATAAGGTGCACAGTAAAGGCTGAAGTGTTGCTTGAGCGATGGGCGAGAGGGCGAGCAAATCAACATAAGCTGAATGTGATTGAACTCCACAGTGATAACACTAAATGTTGTTTAACCCTGACAATGGAAATGTGTGATAAGGTTATACAGGGATGATATATGCAAAACAATATCTCCATGATTTCCTAGAACAGGGGTAGCTACGTTCTGAATTTGGATTTTTTTTCGAGAGAACTCTGCAGGAAATATGACTCATTCCTCTACCGGCTCTATTTTTATCTTCTGTCTCCTGAATGTGCAAAGAGATGTCATAAAAATTCTTCAACTATAAGAAATCTGGCTGTAATGCAAAGGTGACACCACAATGTGCTGGTGTCGCTGCTGAAACTTCTGCTGGAGGATTCTGCTGCTCTCTCTAAAGTTGGGTACTCGCCATCAGTTTTTTATTTCCGTTCAAACCAGTGGCTGCCCCCCCCCCCCTCCTCCCACCACCAGAACACACCGGTCAGCGCTGGGCCATTGGCTGCCAGCATTGATCGGATGCTGGTTTTCCAGCATGGCTGTTCGGCTGGCTTCTGAGGGACAGATAAGTGTACACACGGTCCTTAACTCTCCTCTCCTGAAATACTCTGTACTGCTGGAGGACTCTGCTTCTTCCTCTAACTCCTCTCTCCTTAAATCCTCTGTTCTGCTGGAAGACTCTGCTCATTCCTCTAACTCCTCTCTCCTTAAATCCTCTTCTGCTGGAAGACTCTGCTCCTTTCTCTAACTTTCCTCTCCTGAAATACACTATGTAGTACTCTATTCCTTCCTCTATCTAACTCTCCTCTCCTGAAATACTCTGCTTCTTTCTGTATACACTGATCAACCATAACATTATGACCACTGAAAGTTAAAATGAATATTGTTCATCATTATTATTATTATTATTATACAGTATTTATAAAGCGCCAATAGTTTGCTCAGCGCTGTACATTACAAAGAGGGACAGAACAATACCAATACAATGCAAAACATGAGGGGATTGAGGGCCCTGCTCTTTCAAGCTTTACAATCTAGGAGATTATCTTGTTACAATGGCATCTGAAAGTCAGTGGAATATATTAGGCAGCAAATGCACATGTTGTCTCTGAAGTTGATGTGTTTGAAAGCAGAAAAAATGGGAATCACAGTTTTGTTTACGTATGGGGCTGCATAGCCACAGACCAGTCAGGGTGCCTGTGCTGACCCATGTCCACAACCAAAAGTGCCTACAGAAGGCACGTGAGTATCAGAACTGGACCACAGAGCAATGGAAGAAGATCGCTTGACTCTCCCCTTTGCATCTGGGGCTGTGGACAGGCAGGGTCTGTGTTACAAATATGGTGGCGATGCCCTAAGGTATATTCCCGAATGCATACAGTTCTCAACTGCAATTTCTTAGAGCTCCAGTTGAGCCCAACCCAATTAACCAACCCAAGCCACATGGTGAAAAATGCTAAATTGATTGGCTTCCTTTTTAGTGCCATTAAACAAATTATAGCTCACTCCTGATAGTCTCCTTTTGTTAAACTTCATGGAGGTCAAAACATACCTCCAATGGTATGATGATCAATGAAAACTGTCTGTCATCTCGGGGGTGTAAATATGACTTATTCCTGAAAATATGGACTTGGGGGATAAATTATTCTCGACCTGATCATAGAGTGTTCCGTCCCTGACTTATGAACTTTTAAATGGGGATATGGGGTTTTGTGGTCCTGAGGATTGGTGCTTGCCCCTCCCTTTTCATATATGTAGTGTCCCTGCTCACTCCCTTCTTTCCTTTCTCTCTCTTTTTTTTTTTTTTTTTAATTGCTCTTCTATCCCATTGATAAACATAACATACACTTCCACTTCTGATATATATCTCCTGCAAAGAAACCACTTTAGCTGTTTTCTCTCTAGTTTAATCTACTAATACAATTTCTCTGGTGACTAATAGTATATTGGCTTCCTTGTACTGAGGATACTTGGTTTATACTCATGAATTTATACATTCGAGTTTCCTTAATTGGGCCAATAGTACCTGGGGTGTACTTTTTTTTTTTTTTTTTTTTTTTTTTTTTTTTTTTTTTTTTTTTATTGAACAAGTAAGAAGGTGACCTGGGCTGGCAAATCACGGTTTCCCATCATGTGGATAGCCAGCTGCATGTGTGTCACTTACCTGGGGAAGAGATGGCACCAGGATGCACTATGGGAAGAAGAAAAGTCAGTGGAGGCAGTGTGATGCTTCGGGCAATATTCTGCTGGGAAACCTTGGGTTCTGCCCTTCATGTGGATGTTACTTGGCACATACCACCTACCTAAGCATTGTTGGGGACCAAGTACACCCCTTCATGGAAACCATATTCTGTGATTGCAGTGGCCTTGTTCAGAAGGCAAAAATGGTTCAAGAATGGTTTGAGAAATAGAACAACGAGTTCAAGGTGTTGACTTGGCCTTCAAATTCTCCAGATCTGAATCCAATCGAGCATCTGTCGGATGTGCTGAAAAAACAGTCTGATCCATAGAGGTCTCACCTCGCAAGTTACAGAACTTAAAAGATTTGATATGAACAGCTTGGTGTCAGATACCACAACATCCCTTCAGTGGTCTAGTGGCATCCATGCCTTGACCGGTCAGGGCTGCTTTGGTGGTAAAAGGGGGATACTCAAGATTAGGTGGGTGGTCATAACGTTATGACTGATCAGTGTAATACTCTGCTCTACTGGAGAACTCTGCTCCTTCCTCTCTCTAACTGTCCTCTCCCCGAAACACTCTGCTCTGCTGGGGGACTCTGCTCCTTCCTCTCAAAAACTGTCCTCTCCTGAAACACTCTGCTCTGCTGGGGGACTCTGCTCCTTCCTCTCAAAAACTGTCCTCTCCTGAAACACTCTGCTCTGCTGGGGGACTCTGCTCCTTCCTCTCAAAAACTGTCCTCTCCTGAAACACTCTGCTCTGCTGGGGGACTCTGCTCCTTCCTCTCTCTAACTGTCCTCTCCTGAAATACTCTGCTCTGCTGGGAGACTCTGCTCCTTCCTCTCATAAAACTGGCCATAGATGGAATGACATTTAGCCAGTTCAGCAGGGACCAGCTGAATTTTAATCCATGTAAGGGTAGGCTGGTTGTACACAAGTTGATCGATTGACTCATGTATAACCAGCCTGTTGAAAAATCAGATTGCTGGCTATAGCTGGCAGTGCTGATCGGTGTGCTGATCCTTACAGGGAGATCATGGAATAGTAGAAGACATATTAAGTAATAAATTAAGAAGGGCAGTGGTGATGAACATTGTGCGAGGAATCCTGACACCTAATTATATTTCAGCTTCTTTTAATCTTTGTTTGTAAAAAAAGTGCAACACTGTAAAGTTTTTGGAGGGGACTGAGGGCCTTCAGCCATGAGGAATTGTTCTTGGTGTTGGGTTGGAATTTTACTTTATCACTTTGCTTTTTATCATCTTCCAGTATTGTATTTCCTGCTGTGACCCAGTTTAGGAATGCTCATGGAGGCAAAAAGTCAGACTTTATTTCTTGTTTTTGAAGACACAAAACTGAGCTTTTGAGGAAAACCATATGTGTTGCAGATAGCAGGAATGGTGTCGTTTTTTAATGACAATGCAGTCTGTACAATACTGTATCCCTGCGCTTGGAGTATCAGCTCTCTACTATTGTTGTCCCTACACAGCCCCCCATACTCAGGATGACGGTGGAGCGTATTCTTCTCGCCTTCCTGGAACAGCAGAAGGATCAAAGCCCCGACTATAAGGAAGCGGTAAAGTCCCTGGTGCAAAATGTCGATAAAGATGGCCACTTGGAGGCAGACGGAGGTTTGTCTTTCAAAGAATGTTTAATGACGGACAGCGGTAAGTCACATGGAAGGCGGATGAGTCTTTGTTTTAGCACCAGGTTATTTGCTCAATTTTTCTTGTGAAATAGGTCAGACCAGTTAGAGGTGGAGCTGTTGGGTTGGTGACCTGTTGGCTTTTTATACTGTATGTCTTGAAGACTTCAGACAGCAACCTAGTATCAGCAGGAAGAGTGAGTCTGAGTATATGAGAGCAGAGCTTGTGAGGTCACATCTTAGGAAACGTTGAGACTCCACTGTAGCCCATTGGTTCTTCACTTTTCACTTGAAGCTTTTATTTCATATGTATGTATGTCCCTATTCACACTTGTTTTTATCCCAGTACAGCAGCACCCAGACATTCATGTGTATGGGTAGTTGAATTTACACAAGATTCCTTCAATAATCAATATTTGCTTGGTAGTATTTTGATTATGGCAGTTCTGTCATTGTGCCCTCTAGGGGTCGTCTGTGTATGAAAAAATACTATTAGCATCACTGCTTTAAAGCAGAGCTCCACCCAAAAGGGGAAATTCCCCTTTTAAGTCTTTTCCCCTACTCCCCATTAAGGATTGGCACCTTTGGGGAGCGTGTACCTGAATTTGGCAGGTACCCGCTCCCATTTCCACTGCGATCGTCTAGGCGATCGGAAGCGGAAATTGTCCTCCCCCCCCACCTCCCTCCCCGTAGTCTTCTGGGACATGTGACAGGTCCCACAAGACTACAGGGCCATTCACAAAGTGCAGTGCTTCTTGGGCACCCGGCTGTGAACCTTCAAGCTGTCACAGCTGGGTGCCCACACTGAAGATGCCAGCGCCAGGGAGAGAAGACGGCCGGTGAAACCAGCAGTGGAGAGGACACCGCTAGACTGAGGGACAGGTAAGTGGCTGTATTTTAAAAGTCAGCAGCTACAGTTTTTTGTAGCTGTTGACTTTTTTTTTTTTTTTTTTTTTTTTTTTTTTTTAAGCATATTTATGCCCCAAATTTTATTTTTTTTTTTTCACATGGGGTTAGGAATAATGAGACTGTCAATCTTTTATCAATGTTGTCTGTGTCCCCGCAGAGTAGAATTCCCTTAGTTTCCTGTCTAGGAGACACAACAGGAAATGGAAAGTAATCTCTTTAGACCTCTCTCACTAGAACAGGTGTCCCATTTGGTAGATTAACCACATGTGTGGACAGTTTGCGCAGACTGGCCCTTCTTGCCTGCTTGGTAGGACTCCATATTATTTTTTTTTTTTTTTTTAAGGAAGTCAGTAGTGTTTCCAAATTTCAGTTCAGGTTCCGTAATGAGTGCTGTGTCTCTCTGTTGTTATAACAATAATAATTTTTGCAGTTTCATTATGATGATGCCTCAGATTTTCTTGTCTCCCTCACTTCGTGAAAAAACATTAAAAGAGCAGTTTGCTTTACAGAGTGACGTTTTTTCAGGTCAGCCATCTTACTGTCTCCCTTTTTTCAGGATCACACCCAGGTGTGGATGAGGAACTCTGCCGTAGGATTGGTGCTCAGCTGGCTGAACTGGGAGACCTTTTTGAGAAGGAAGCACTGATCAAGCAGGAGGTGGTGGAGGGTCTCGTTAATCAGATCCTGGACAAGTCTCTGACAGAAGCTGTACGTATTGACACATGATGCTGCTCAAGTCCCAGAATTCCTTGTCCCTCATATAGAAAGCCACACCTGGATAGCCACTACTCGATCTCCCTAGGACAGCCGCACCGCCAGCCATGGAATAGTGTCATCCCTGGAAACAGTTATTATATAAAATCCAATATATTTTTATAAGAAGGAATTCTGGTTGGATTAGTGTTCCTCAATATCTAATGTCATGTTACCAGCGAATGAGGGGCCAAGTCAGTCATTGCATCCTCCTTAAACCACTTTCATTTCACCATTAAATCCCATTGCACCCTAGAAAACCACCATTAATCACCTTAACCACTTCCTGTCCCGGACACTTTTACCCCCTTCCTGTCCAGGGCAATTTTCAGCTTTCAGCGCTATCACACTTTGAATGACAATTGCGCGGTCATGCAATGCTGTACCCATATGAATTTTTTACCATTTTTTGAGACAGATAAAGCTTTATTTTGGTGGTATTTATTCACCGCTGGGATTTTTATTTTTTTTTGCTATGTAAATGAAAGTCCAAACATTTTGAAAAAAAAGTGTTTCTTATAAAATTTTGCAAAAATAATCTTTCATCATAAATCTTGACCAAAATGTATTCCGTTATATTTTTAGTAAAAAAAAAATAAGCCAAATTAGTTTATAACCAAAAATTATAATTTTTAAACTTTTTTTTTTTTTTAATTTTTATTTTTTTATATTATTTTTATGGGGGTTTTTAATTTTTTTTTTTTTTTTTTTTTTTTACATACTGTCAGCCTAGCAGTACAGTGTCACCATGGTGACACTGTACTACTTGTGGGGGGTGATGAAGATTTTTTTTTTTTTTTTTTACAGTGATTGCTTTTACACACATATAGGATGTAAAAGCAATCATTTCTCTTTCTCTCTGTCTGCATTCTTGCAGCCATTGAGAAATACTGAGTGAGCTGTGATTGGTCACACCTTGTCACATGGTACAAGGCTGTTGTGAATAGCCTTGTACCATGTGACCTCTGTGATCATTCACAGATTTCACATGTAGTAAGCAATGATGTCACAAGTGACATCTTGCATGTGATCACTGATTGGCCAATCAGTGATCACATGATCGGGACCTCGCACAGAGGTCCCGTCCGATGATCAGTGTTTCACTGTGTCTCAGGGAGCACGCACAGCTAGAAAAGGCGGGTGCCGTTTATGAACGGCAACCCGCGCCTGGAGTGCCACCGCCCTGCCGTTTATAGACAGCAGGCGGACAGCAAGTGGTTAATATCCTACTGCACCCTCTGAAACCACCTTCATTTCACCATTGAGTTACATCACACCCTTCAGTACCACCGTAAATACCTTTCACTTCATTGAGTCCAAAGGGCTCCATTCAAAAAGCAGTATTTTCTTCTTTAAACTTTTGCGGTAAAATACCTCATAGCATTTTTCTAAAAGTTCTTCGGCATTAACTAAAAATGCTACTAAAATACAGCAGGAGTTATTTTAGGAAGTCATGCTTTACTTTAGCAGTGAAAACATGCTGTAATTTAACACCGATGGTGGCTGCCGTATTTTTTAACAGTAGTAAATACCGCGTTGTTAGGAGCGAGCCGCCGCAGTAACTGTCATAGTTGTTAAGGAGCGGGTCGCTACTGTGTCCTTAACAACCGATGAGCCCTCAGCTCTCAGTGGGGTTTTCCAAAATCATTGCCGGCAATGAAAAATTACAGTAAAAAACAAGGTGGAGGGTTCCTGCCAATCCATACCTGGCCCTTGGGGTCTGCTAAGGATTGGGGAGGGGATCCCCACACTGTTGTTTTCCCCTGTAATTGTTAATTGCTAGCAATTGTTTTGTTTACATTCAGCTGATGACTCATCTGTTGTTAAGGATGTGGCGGCTGCCCACTCCTTACCAACCAGTTAAAATCATACACATTCCTTAAATACCGCATGCCTGGACCACTACCTAATTGCCCCATGTATTTAATTATTTCCTTCTGTGAATTGAGTTTCACACCTGTTTTATGCAGTATTTACCAAGCGTTTTCACCGATTTGCGGTAAATATCGCAAATCGGTATAGTGAATTGACCGTTTCAGGATATTTAGGTAAAATGTGTCTGGATACCTAATTAACACATGCGAGTTCCTTTTGTGAATGTAGGCCATTATTTGCAGTTGAAATTTTGGCAAAGTGAAAATTTCCTCATCCATACTTCTGTACATTATCACTGACATCACAAGTCATATATTTCTAAAAACATTAAAACCCACGTTATATCAGCCCAGGCTATACATTTAATAATGTTACGTACACCTCTCGTGGGCAGAGCTCTCATATCACTCTTGTCTTGAATTGTACTGTCTCCCTTTTGTGTTGTAAAAACACTGTGTAAACTGTTGGCACTATATACATCCGTATAATAATGTACCCACCCAAATCAACTTCCTACAATCTACTGTTCACCAAAAAAAATCAGACTGACACTGTGAACCTATTAGGCTGTACTGCACTTAACAATGCTGACATGTTTCATGCACTAGGAGCTGTAGAGAGAAGGGGACAGCTTATCAAATATAGAGAGTACCAGGAAGACTTCACTACTGCAGCTTCCTTTCTCATCATACTGCTGAATAGTGGTGTGACCTTTTTTGGTTTGACCTTTGACAGGGGTGTGTAATTCATCACAATCGTGGACAGAAGGATGAAGATTTTGCTAGGTATATAGCTCACACCTGTGGGTTTCAAGTGTGTATTTAGTGGTGTGGCTGGAGGTCTGCTTTAAGGTGTAGCTTGATCCTTTAGGTTGAATGAATGGTTTGTCTCTTATCTCTTATGCTTCTCACTTCCAGCGGTTTCAGGAGGCAGTGCAATCCTCACTGTGTAAGATACCAGCTGGCATCGAGCAGGAAAAGGCTTCGCTGGTGGTTGCCATGATGCTGACCAGCAAGATTGGAAAGAGCATTCCTTCACTGCTGCAAAGTTGCTTTACTACTGCTGTGAGCTTCATTCAGGACAACTACAACGCCTACATAGAAGGCATGGCTGAAGAGGTAAGAAGCTGCCACAAACCCTTACCCAGTACTGTATGTTATCATACAATTCACAGTGGAGTCTTGGCCACAAAGCATGTTGCAGCAAGTTAAATGGTTTTGCACAGACTGGCTCTGAACCTCCTCTTCTGGGGTCCCCCACCAGCAGTGTTTGCTCCTCCTGCTCTTCTGTGTATGCCCCCATAGCAAGCCACTTGCTATAGGGGCAGAAGTTATGAGCTTGCTCCTGGGCTGAGCTGTGCGTCTATAGACACATGTAGCATGGCTCGGCCCCGTCCTCTGCTCCCTCGTTACTGGATTTGATTGACAGCAGCAGGAGCCAAAGTCCTAAGTCCTGTGAGAAGAGAGAGCAGGGCACATCAGGAGAGACTTAAGGCACTTACTATGTACAGTCTGAAGGACAGAAGGGAAATGGTAGACAAGGCTGAAACCTATAAATACATGGAATGGTGTGATAAGGCTTTTCAGTATGAAGCCAAGATCAAGAACACAGGGAGGAAAGTTCAAAATTAAACCTCAGAAAATAATATTTTGCAGAAAGAATAGTGAATGCTTTGAATGCACTTCCAGCAGAGGCAGTGAGTCAGTCAACAGTAAGTTAATTTAAACCTGCTTAGGACAAACATAGATTTGTGCATAAGGTTGAAAAAAAAGAGAGGAAAAAACAAAATAAAAACCAAAAAAAAAAAAAAAGAATGGGGAGACCCAATGGACCAATTTGGTCTTTCTTCCATCACCATTTCTCTATGTACAAGGCTACCAATATCTCAGTGTGTCTGTATGCAACTGGTTTTGCCCCAAAAGCCAAACTATATTTTTGTTTCCACAGAGGTGAAAAATGCAGCCATGGGCAATTGAGAAGTTGGAGGCCTCGAAGATGTGTTGGTGACCTGTGCCAAAAGGCCTTAGATGGTTGAAAGGAACCAAGTTCCATGAAGGACATTTTCCGTTTCAAAACTTGACTCTGTGTTGTGTTTGTTTGTAGCTAGCTATGTAGTTTGTAGAATATGCTTAGGAAATAAATAATGTGTGTCATTTTGTGTGAATCACATTGCAAACCACATTGTACACTGAATGCAGTTGTGAAAAGCACAGGATAGGTAAGCCAGGTTGTGGGATAAACAAATATTCAACATGGCTCCAACCGCCACACACCAGCAACACTCAGGTGCTTTCTTTGTATAGTAGCTGATAACTTATTTGGGGTCCACATTCTATATTGAATTCTTTAGAAATGTTAATAACAGGCCTATACAAGATCTGATTAAGAAGACCTGTCATGACAAGAATACATGGGCTGCCATTTGCTGACCTCCCTCTGAAAATACGAATTCCCAAGCTTGAGTCATTAAATTCAGGAGTCAGATAATACGAATTTTCAGAGGGAGACCAGCAACATTTTCATTGTGCCTGGTTTTCTTAAAAAAGGTGTGCTAATAGGGGAAGGGATTTCCAACACACATATGACTTCCTGTCCAGAAAATGGGCTCCTGCCACTTGGGAGTCCCCTTTAACCTAGCCCAGTGGTGGGCAACCTTTTTTTTTCAACTGAGCCAAATCTCGCCAAAACCACGATTGAAATTTATTTTGAGAGCCATTTTTAAAACTGAAAATACATCCCCCATATAGTAATTCATCCCCCATATAGTAATTCATCCCCCCATATAGTAATTCATCCCCCCTATAGTAATTCATTCCCCATATTGTGTCAATTCACTTACCTTTGCTCCTCGCGTTCCTCTCGCCGTGTTCCTGCGCCGTTGCGGTCTTCAGGGCGGACTGTGAGAGGAGAGGAGTTCGTCACGCTGCCCCGCCTACATCCTGACAGCCAATGTTTGCCACGCTCCGCGGGCCGGATTAAAAGGTCCGCCGGGCCGTAGTTTGCCCATTGCTGGGCTAGCTGCAGAGTCCTGACTTTTGGGGCGGCCACCCGAGAGGAGGGAGGGGAGCGGGCGCCCGGCACACAGAAGAGCCGCATTAAAGTATGTAAAGAGCTGCATGTGGCTCGCGAGCTGCGGCTTGCCGACCACTGACCTAGCCTAACCAATAGCTTTCCCAAGGGACGATCACAAGTCCGATTTTTCATCTTCAGTTGTGGTTGGGGATTGTCTGTAGCTTTTGATTCATCAATGAATATTCTTGATTAAGGTTAGTGACCCTTTATATAACTAGCAGTGTTTTTCCTTGGTTGCGAGTCACATTTCATGTATTAGAGGTGGTTTTGTATTCAGAACGTTGTTTTTACTCACTCAAATGTCAAATAATTAAAAATTAAAAAAAAATTACCTTGGTTTTTTGAAATGTTTAGCACTTTTAAATGTTTAAAATGGGGCATTTACTCACCTTCTGGGCCAACAACATACTTGAAATCACAGATTTGGATCAAATATCATCAGTATAATCCTCTAACTTATCTGTAGTGTTTTAGGTCACATTTCCCCCCCATTGGCTGAATAATAGTTTTAAAGTAGTATTAAACCCTCCTGTTTTTTTCATTCATGTAGAGTCTGTGAAAAGATTAGGCAAACATTAGGTCTTTGGATCTTTATTCAAACAGTGCCTACGGATAAAAGCAATGTACTTCAATTAGAACACAAAGTGCCTTTTTCATAATATTTTCAACAAAAATATCAATGGATGTAATGGTTTGCTGTGGAAAAAGTAAGTACACCTTTTGGTATCAGAAGCTGGTAATTGCCCCCTATAGCAGAAATGACATTTTGTGTAATTTCCTGCCAGTCTCTGACCTCAACTCATTCAAAATGTTTACCACTTCTCCGTTTGTGGGTTTCTTTGCATGAACTGCCCATTTCAAAATCTCCCTACAAAATTTCAATTGGAATCAAATCAGGGCTTTGACAATAACCCTCTATTTTCTTCTTTTTGAGTCATTCATTGGTGGATTTGCTAGTGTGCATCTGATCATTATGGTGTGAAAAGACCTATTTTTCTGTGTTAATTGAAACTTTTGGACAGATGGCCTCACATTCTCATTGATCACACTTTGACTTGATGTAGAATATATAATTGATGTGATGACTACAAGCCTCTGAGGCCCTGAAGCAGCAATCCCAAACCATAACATTTCCACCACCATGCTTCACAGATGGTATGAGGTTCTTCTTCTGAAACACCGCCTTCAGTTTGCAAAAAACATATCTACTGTTACCAAACAGCTTTATCTTTTATTGATCAATCTTGAGTATATGGCTTCAGAAGGCCTGGTCTTTGTCTATATGGCACATGTCAACCTGTAATCGTGTTATAATGTTCTTTTACACAGCAACAGCTTTTTCCCTAGCACTTCCTCATGCAGTTTGATTTGGTGCGTTTACTTTGTAATTGTAGATGCATGCACTTCAACCCCAACTGTTGCAGTTACCTAAACCCCCCCACCCCCCAAACAATATAATTTTGTTTTGTTTTTTTGCAGACTTCTTTTAGCATCAAATAGCCAGCTCTTGGGTTGAATTTGCTGGTCCTGCCAGTACTGGATTAGCAGATGTATGCCACCTATACATCATTTTACTTTTAGTGGAATGATTGAGTTCTAATTTTTTGGCTATCTTTTTTTTTTTAAATCCCTTGGCAGTATCCTATGCATCCAAAACATTTTCTAATGTGCGCTATCGATATTGGCATGATGACACCACACATCAATAACAAAGAACACCAGACCCTCAGCTTTTGCAATTAAGCTTTAGCAATAAAACCTGGAAGCTGATTGGTTTCTATGCAGAAGTGCACAAGATTCTGAGTGAACCAGCTTTAGTAAATAAACCCCTAGATGTCTGAGATTTACAGATTCCACCTGCATATTCCCTAAGGAGATTCTGATCATTGGCACCTAATCTGTCTCAGAAGCTGCTGCTGATCATGTTTTGTAGGTGGTTGAGCAGGGGATGGGGAGTGGCTGCACCCCTGGGCTTCTGAACTGCCTGTGCATGTAGATTCATGGAACACAGGCATGTCATGCATGCCAAACTGTAGTCCCAGGCAGGTGTATGCTGGTAAGAGTGGCTCCAGAGGACCCTGCAAGGTAGTGGAGCCACCTATAAAAGGGAAATGAAAGACACTGATGGTTTGGGGAAAAAAATGAAAAAGACATGAGCGGCTTCAAACAGAAGGTAAAAATCAAAGAGTGTAAGTGCAAAAGTATGCTACTGTATATCATGTTTTTATGGAGGGTTTAAAGTATATGTAAATCCTCACCTTCTAAAACCACTCATTCATTAAAAAAAAAAAAAAAAAAAAATTAAAGGCAAACATTGGTGTATAGATATAAACATTTCCCCCTTTTTATAAGTGATCACATACCCTCTGTTGCTACATAAGGAGCTCAAGGAGGAGAGGCAGCCACACATGGATCTTCCCAGTGAATGGCTGTGCAGAGGAGAAATGTCAGCAGAAGTCTGATCTTTGGAGGAAAACAGCACAACACAGCCTATGCTGTGCTTTTATGCCAAGTGTGGCCAGTTTTTAAAGCAGTAGTAATGTTTGCTTTTTCAGTTGTACTACAGGTAAGCCTATAATAATAACCTGTAGATATTGTGAATATCTCCTAAACATGTACTGATCAGGAGATATTCACTTCTGTAGCAGCCAGTGACAGCATGTGCACTGCGCGCTCTGAATGGATGTGGCTCTTGAGTGTTCCATCCAGTCCGAGCGCTGTGCTGGGGCCGTGTGTGACTCCTGAGTGCATGCGAGGGAGTAACGTCATAATGGCTCAGCCATTCAAACGAACCTGGAAGGAAGACCAGGGGAAGATGGAAGTGACATCGTGCTGCTGGAAGCATCCTTTTTACAGGTATTGTAAGGCTGACCTCTTCCGCTTTTGCGTTTAAAAAAAAAAAGCAGAAGAAAAAGGTGTGACCATTTATTCCTATGGAAACACACTTCACCCTGGTCCATTGAGCATCTGGTGCATTTTTTTAAAGCCTGCTTGCTGCATTTTTGGTGGGTAAAAAAAAAAAATACCTCCTCAATAAAATCAATGG